TCCAGTCCCATCGCAGAGTCTATCGGTACTTTCCCAAAAACTTCAGCTATCATATCGGCGTCAACCACTACTTGTGACCCCATTGGGACCTTCAGTTCTCTCTTAGGGTCCGTGGTGGGACTCTCAGCATTATCGCATTCGAGCAAGTTCGAGAGGACCTCCGTGAGGTGGTCCTCCATTTCTCCGTCCTTGATCTCCCTCCCGGACTCATCTAGGGCAGCCGCCGGTTTTCGGTCCCCCCTGTCCTCTTTCCGGGTGTATTCCCAGAATCTTTTTGCCCTCTGATGTCTCGGGGCTCGAATTATATAGTCGTAGAGTTTTCTGTTGCTGTTGGCAACCTCTCTCTCGACTTGGTCGTAGATTTTCCTCCGAACGTCATTCAATTCTCCAGCTAGTTGGTGCTGTTTTTCTAGATCTCCCCTATCTCCGGCTCGCCTCCACTCTTTGCCGAGAGCCTTTTTCTCTTTGTGGAGGCGGGAAATCTCCCTGGATTGTGTGGGATACGCATTTGACACCCTCACCATCCTTGAGCTCTTCCGTATATTCTCCTGGATAGTATATTTCAGGATCTCATACGTCACCGGCTCGTCTCGGAGCAGTTTGGTTCTCAGGCTAGCCTTCGTTCCAAGAGCGGCCCTGTTCCTATCGACTAGATTGAGTTTTTTTGACAACTTTTTCTTGTCCCCCCTGTTTTCTGCGATCTGGAAGATGGCTGTGATTAGATTGTGGTCCGAGATCTGTGTTATCTGTCTCTTTTCATCAATCACCATCTGTTGGAGTTTTCTGTACGCCGATGTATTGCAGAGTACATAATCCAGAACTGCTCCTTTTCGAGTGAACTTCCCTTCGCATTTGTCGGAAGTATTCACAATAATGAGTCCATTCTGACTCGCAAAGTTCTTCACTAACCAGCCTCTCGCATCTTCCTGCTCTGAGAACTGCGTTATATGAGCATTCATGTCCCCGCCAATCACCACGTGCGTTTTTCCGTCGTGTTCGTGGCTGAGCACATTGGTAATATTTTCGAACAATTGTCCGTTCTGTCGTCCTCTCTCGTGCGCAACATAGATTGAGCAAAACAACCATATCGATGATTGGATTTCCACCTTGGTCGCTATGAAATCCCTTCCCCTTTCGGTTGAGATCACTCGCCCAATGCCCTGCGGGATCAGTATTCCCACTCCCGCTTTCGCGTGTTTCCCCGTTTTTCCTTCTCTGTTGGATCCCAGCCATTCGTATTGGGATATTTTTGGCGGAACCTCCTCATTCATGAGCCATGTTTCGCTCACCAGGATGATTCCTTTCGCGTCTCTCGCATCTTTCCCTGCAGTGTCTGGGAATGCTTCCCTCATCAAACTCTTCCATTTCGACCTCGTGCGCCCCCCTCGGATATTGAGAACACCGATTTTAATATCAAAAACATGGGTTCCCTTTATTAACTCGTTTCTCGACTTGCCCCCCCGCCGCCGATTTCGCTTTGGAGGGTCATGATTTCCGAGTTTTGGTACCGCTGGAGGGCGGGATCGTCATTTCGGTTCCCGGTTTTGGTTCATCTTATATCCCTGAGGATACGGCAATTTTCGCGTACTCCCCCTAGTTTGTCCTCGACCTCGGCCAGCATTGTAGCTGCCTGTCGCCCCTCCTCTCGATGTAGACGGTTGAGGATCCCGATTTATATTAGGCTCATCTCGAGCCTTATTTTTTCCGGTCTCGAGCAGCCTTGCCCTACTTTTTTTCATCAGGGCTCGGAGGTTTTCTTCCTCTTCGGTATCGAGCTGTACCGTGGTGACATACCAGGCGGTCAGTTTTTTTGCCGCCTCCGCCTGACCGATTTTCGTCAGGTTGTCCGAATCAAATAAGATTCGGTTTTGGTAAAGGCCCCTCAAATTAAAGAGGGACACTTTTTCCGGATCTTGCGTTTCGATCCACTCCTCTATCACCCGGTTCACTTCACTGGCTGGATGAGCCAAATCTCCCTTTTCTGGGAGATTCGTCCACGTAATTGTGGCAACATTTTTGTTGGCCAACAATTTACCCAGGCCATTGGTGCTCTGGTCACCAAGTTCTTTAGCTTTCCAGGAACGGAAGTTTTCGTCCCGGAGATTGGACTTGCCAATTTCAAAGAGGACATGCTTTTTTTCCGCCGTCCCCTCGCGGATCAATTTCTCCGCCATTTCGAAGTGCCTGGCAATCAGGCACTGCTTGGTTCTCAGGACGCATGTCTTCCCGAGCAATCCACTCAAGTGTTTATTTTCGTATAGACCGTCGAGAATTTCCTCTCCGATCAGGTAGGCACATGAGGTGGGCACAATTTCGGCCCCCTCTCCTACGATCATGTTCTGGCTGGACCCAAGGGCAGCAAGTTTCGCTCCCGCCAGCTCTTTCTCTAGATCGGTACGCCGCAAGATTTCTGCGGTGTAATGTGCGATCAATTGGGCATTGGCCGAGACCTGTTTTTCGAGTCTTTCCTCCAGGTCTGCATTGGCCGCCCTCAGTCGTGCGTTCTCATTTCGGGCCTGATTCATCTCATTTCGAATCCACACGCACCCGATGCACGCTTCGCCGGCTACGTTCTTAGCCTCAGCCGTGCTTTTTTCGCACGAATTACAAAGTTGTTGAGACATATTGTAAAGTTTCTTACCGTCTCTGGGTTCCGTGGGCTTTTTCGCACTTCACTAGATACCACCACAGTAATTTTCACTGTTAATTTATCGCTTTTTTTCGCTTTTTTCTCTGCAGTCGATCGGGCACGTGTTGTTGTTGTGCGCGGAGCAGACGATCTGCGCGTTCCGCTCAACAACAGAACTGGTTCTCGAGGCTTCCTTCCGAACACAAGTTCGTACGGGCTGAACCCCGTGACGCTATGCACCGACGTCCGGTATGCATACGCCGCGTGTTGAAGATGCTTATCCCAATGCTCGGGATCGTCTTCCACGTACTTTCGGATGTATTGCATCAGCGCTGCGTTAAAACGTTCTGTCTGACCATCTGTTTGCGGGTGATATGGGCTCGTTCGAAGATGTTTTATGTCGAGCGCCTTCAATAACGCCTGAGTGAGATCAGCCGTGAAGTTCGTGCCCTGGTCACTCAGCAAACTGCTAGGAATCGAGTACCTGAGCACCAACTCGATTATACACTTCGTCGTTTCCTTGGCTGTCTGAGTTTCCGTCGGGAACAGTTCCACCCATTTCGTGAACAAATCTGTCACTACCAAGATGTTTCTGTAACCATTCCTAGACACCGGGAGCGGTCCTAGGAAATCCATCGCCCACTGGCACAATGGCACCTCGACAAGCCCCACCGTGAGCCTTGGCTCTGAGGATTTCTGCCGTTTCACATTATTCTTCGCGCAGATCAGGCACCCTTTTTTGAGATCATTGACGTCCTTCCCCATATTGTACCAGTAGTAGAATTCCCGTATCCTCTTCTGAGTCCGTTTGCTTCCCATGTGTCCAGCCATTGGATGACAGTGTGCGGCTCTGAATATTTCCAGTCGCATGTTTTGCGGAACCACTTTCACACCCTTGTACAGAACATTGTCTCCCTCCGTTTTCAGGCTGCCCCGCGACAGCTGTTGCATCCAAAACTGAAGTTCGGCTGGATCAGCAGATTCTGGTGGCACTCTCGTATCATTCCGGAGTTTTGCTCTTAAAAACTCCAAAATTTCATCACGTCGACACTCATCCGCCCAGACTTCTCTTTGGCTTACTCTCCGATGAGGGGTGAACGGTTTTCTACTCAGCGCATCCGCATGAGCAATCGTTAGTCCGGGTCGGTGTTGGACAACCATACTGTATCCATCCAGTTTCCTGGCCCACCGGAAAAGCACCGGGTCGTCACAATCGTGTCTGAACCCTTTCGCAATCGCTTGGTGGTCTGTTATTACCGTGAACTGGCTACCGATGAGAAAATACTTCCATTTCTGCACGGCGTTCACCAACGCCCGGAACTCCTTCCTGGTGGTGCTCCATTTCGACTCGGTTGTATTCCAGCGACCTGAGCAATACTCGACCGGTTGATTTTCCTGTTCCAACACCGCACCCCAGCCCGTTCCCGACGCATCCGTAATCAAGACCGTGGGTACGTTCACTTGGAAGGGTCTGATCACGGGTTCGCTCGAAAGCAACTCCTTCAACTTGTCGAACGCTTCTTGTTCCACCATTCCCCATTCGTATGGAACGTCTCCAATCAATCTATTCAGTGGAGCGGTGAGCGAGCTATAATTCTTTATCATTCGCGAATGGAACCCTGCGAATCCGAGGAACGTACGGAGCTCCTTTTGATCTCCGGGCACCTCCCATGTGCGCATTTCCTCTTTGAAGCTTGGTCTTGGAGTTACCTTCCCTTTCGTCACCAGGTGACCAAGTATCTCCGCTTCTTCCACCATCCACTTGCTCTTCGCCTTGTTCAATTTCCACCCATCCACAGCGAATCGTTTGCAAAACTCTTCCAGCACCAATAGATGAACATCTTCGTCGTGCGTTGCCAGAACGATATCATCGTAGAAACTAGCAATGGCGTAGTGCACGCCTGGGAGGAACTTCCTTTTTCCAAGCTCTTCCCTCAGCTTGGCCAAGCTCAGCAGCAAGCCTCGCGCGAAAGTCTTCGGCGCGTTTTTCAGCCCCATGGGCATGGCGATGCACACATATTGTCTGTCCATTATCACGAAAGCCGTTTTCGCTCGGTGAACTTCTGCCATTTTGAAATGCCAGTATCCACCACGAATGTCTATCGTCGAGAAGAACCTGAACTTCGCTGCTTCGTTGACAACTGCCAACATGTCTGGTATCGGGAACGGATCATCCACGGTTACCTTGTTGAGCTCTCTGTAGTCGATCACGAGCCTTAGTTCCTCCGTTTTACCCTTCGGTATCATGAACGCTGGCGAGGAATACGCGGATTCACCCTCCGCTATGATTCCTGCTTCGACCATCTTTTCTAGCGTGATCCTCGCTCTTTCTTGAAAATGGACCGGAACTTTGTACTGGCGTTTCACTATGGGCTGATCCGATGTCACTTGGATCGAATGCTCCAACTCGACCCGGCCAACGTCATATTGGCTACGAGCGAAAAGATCCTCGAAACGTTCGCCCAGCTCTTGCAACTTCCTTTCATGCGTAGGCAAGGTTCGACGTGTCTGGAACCACACTACGATCCGGAGCTGATCCGCCCCCTTTTTCCCGATGATCAACGGGTCCGACATCTCCTCAATCACAATGAAATCCAGCTCGCATTCGCGTGTCCCTAGCTCGGTTGTCAGGCTCACTTCCCCCAAAACCTTGAGCGAAGTCTTGTTTATGGCGCCCAACCGAACCGACGTCGGCCTCACTGCGGCTCCTCCATTCAGGTTCCTCAAGGTGTTGACCGTAATCAAATTGTGGTAGCTTCCACAATCCACCAAAGCCAAATGGAGTACGCCTTCGATGAATACATTCACCGTAATGTCGGATTCCTCTGGCGAAGACTTCACAAGAACAGCGTCCTCCAATAAGAGATCCACCCTGCGCGATCTCTCATTCGCTATTTGAGTCGCTCCTTTCTCCCGAAGCTGTGGACATTGAGCCTTGACGTGACCCTTTGCTTTGCATTTGAAACACCGCGTTCGGCACTCCTTGGCGAAATGCCCCCGGAGACCACACTTCCTGCAAGTCGCTTCACTCGTCGTCGCCCTGGCTAGCGTATCCCCGGTTCTATCCATTCTTGGAACCGTAACCTCGGCCGTAACCTTCTGTAGCAAGAAGATTTTATCACACATCGCGTCCACGTTCTTGAACTCAGCTTCTTTGAGTCGTTGCTGCCATGCTGCTGGACAAGCTTTGATGAGTTGCCTTTTCACCATGAGTTCTACCGAGGCTGTTTCAGCCTCGGGCAAGGCCAGGCGGAAATTGTTTTCCAGCCTCTCTCGCACCTCATACACTGAACTACTTTGCAACGATATCTTCTCGAACTCATCGATGAATGTGTGACGCACAGTCTTGGGAGCCAAAACCAGTTCGACCATTGCCTGTAACTGGTCTACCTTCGGCACCTTTCCCTCCGCCAAGTTCCCGATATCCTTCTCGAGGCGGGATGCCAACCAGGTCTGTCGCAGGCCGATGAACAACAAGCACTTCGTCATCGTCTTGGTATCGTCCCACTCGTTTGCTCGCGCCAACCAACGGAGCTTCACGAAGAAATCACTCGGATTCCTCTCATCCAGAGTCAGCACGATTTCTCCACTCAACGGCGCGGTTACCGACATTTTGTCCTCAGTCCTCCTCAGTACCTCGCCTCCCGACTACACCTCACGACTAGATCTTCGGACTGGATCGAATCCCACCGCTGTTTGTTAGGATTTCGCTCCGGAATCCTACCTGTCGCGAGGAAGAAGTTAATGACTACCGAGTAATGAGTTCACGATAACCCAGCTCGTCAAAGGCTGACTAAACTATTTATTGTGACGGCGGCTCTTTTATAGCTTCTTGGCTCTGGAGAGGAGGGAATCGTTTCGCAACCAATGCGAACTCTGCTTTCCGTAGAACATTCTAGAACCTGATTCCGACATCTTGTTCTCCTTCGGTTCAACACCGAAGAAGTTATACATCGTTACGACTTCTAGAACCCTAACAGACGCAATGCATTGCGTTGGTGTTGTCAGTGCGGATAGCGATTGTAGTGTCTGAAGCGTCGCCGGCTAGGGTTTTAACCGCGAGAAAGATCGCTTTTAGCTCTAGCGCGTTGATGTGGAGGTGTCTGTCATTTTGGCCCCAGGCGCCGCCAGTGGCTCCGCGATCGCACCAAGCGCCCCAGCCTTCCAACGAGCTGTCGGTGGTTATCTCCAGAGAGACTAGGGGTGGTCTGACCGGACCCGAGGCAATCAGATCAAGATTGGCTTCCCACCATAGAAGATCGGTACGCGTCTCTGTTGGTAATGTGAGCAGCGAATCCAAATTGCGCGTTCGTCGGGTGGAAACCGAGACGAGCTTTGCGAGGGACGAGCAATGGTACCGCAGGGAGCGGACGATTGTAGTAGGGGCGTTTAGTTTGCCTAAGATGCGATAGAGAGTGCGTAGAGAAGGCCGAGTGGTTTCTAGGAGGGCGCGAATATCTGACTTAATTTGACTTCTCTTTTCCCCCGGGACTGAGAGCTGCATATTGGCAGCGTCGATTACGTATCCGAGAAAAGTAACTTGGCGTGTCGGTTTCAGGGACGATTTAGCGTACTTAATCGTGTATCCCAACGACTGCAAAAGTGTCGTGGTGCGTTCGACGTGCGCCGCCAGTCGTTCGGGTGAGTCTGCGATTATCAGAAAATCATCCAAGTAGACAATTACAATGATTCCCTCTTGTCGCAACCGGGCCGTGACGGGCTTGAGAAGTTTGGTGAAGACACGTGGGCTCGTTTTCAGGCCGAATGGTAATCGAGACCAGCAATATGTGTGCTTCTGCGTATATCTGCCTCGCGGATGGGTGTTATGGCTCCCTTGTTAAGCAGGTCGGTGATTAGAAAATGCATGACAAGTGTTTCGTCTGTAGTGAATCGAATTGAGTGTGGCATGGATCGTTGTTGTGGTGCTTGAAGGAAGTGAACGCGATAACCTCGAACCGTACTCCTAATCCACGCATCTGAGGTGAGGATGTCCCATTCGGACGCGAAGTTATAGAGCGAGGGGAATGTACCTGGCGTCTGCGTTTGATTCCCGCTGTTGTTGCCGGTGGTCGAGTTTCGTTGGCTGGATTGGGTCGCAGCGGTGGGAGTTGATGAGGTTCCAATCACTGACTCTGTTGGATTGTCGCCACGACATGCGGCGTGGAGTGTTGCGATCTTGCGTTGGGCGCGCGCACGGCCGGTACCGCGAATAGGCTGGAGTTGGGTTGTCCTCGCCTACCAGAACCTTTTTGTCTTTACGCAAGCGTTCCCCATTTTTAGCGAACGATGCTCCGAGTAGCGACGCGCCACGCTCAGTCTTCGCCGTGGAGGTGGGTACTTTGAACGCATAGCATGCGAGCTCGATCCGCGCGGTTTCGTTCAGCTTTGTGCCGATGATTAGCATTTTGGCCATGTCCGCGAGACGTTCCGCCAGTAGTTTAGGGTCCAGTGGCGTTCGCGTTTCGGCGATGTAGGACATGACATCGGTTAAGGGGCGTGCGAGGAGCGTCTGATTTTCGGCCAGCTTAACGAGGAAAGAGTCGGCCTTCAATGCGTGTAGTGCCTTGCTCGCCTTGAGGTGAGCCTCCACGTCCACTAACGGTTCCGGATTGAGGAACTGTAGTCCTTGTGGTTCCGGATAGGCGCGTTGCAGTTCGTCGGCCAACTTACTGGTGTCCTTCATCTCGAAAAGGCGTTTCAGGGCGGTAATCACCCCCGCGCTGTCCGGGAAAGAGATGGATCATTAAGATCGCGACAGTGTAAGCTGTTCGATATACCGGAAATCGAATATACGAATACACTACTTGATTGTTGGCGCGGATGAATCATCCAGAAGTCCTTCAAAAATCGAAGGTATCTCTTCACGAGGACTTTCCGTCATGGGTCCACCTTCGTCTGCGAGGACGACTTCCTCTTCCACGGATACCTCCAAGAAGTCCCCGTTGTCGTCACTCATGTTTTTCTGAAGATCGACAAGAAAACATATATTATCTCACTGTGGCGAAGCTCATTCGTGAGTATTCGGGAGTAATATTTGCTTTGAGAGCACATGGTGCCTTCGCCGGTCATGCGACGGTTGGGGTAGGCCTAAGGCCTGAGTTAAGCCTCGAGGGAAAACTTCTCGGCATCGAGGAAATACGTCTCGGCATCGAGGAAAGTCATCTCTGCATCTCGGCATGAATATGGAAGCCGGGGCATCACGTCGTATGCGTGGCATCGAGTGTTTCGAACTCGGCATTCAGTTCCCAGAGGGAAAAAGAGAATTGCATAGACACGTGCTCGGAGCACGTGTTAGGAACCTGGACTGTGAGTCGCAAGTCCTGAATATATGACAATCAATTGTCATTGGAGAATCTGGAATAGAACGGGGCAGCTACTTACCAGCTGTGTGAAGGTCGAGAAGAATCACAAACAATCACAAGCACCTTTCGTGGTAAGTGGCCGCGAGACCTGGCCTTACGACGCCAAGCGGAAAACAATAAGTGACGAGCCGTTCACGGATCGTCCGCTACTTTTCTTTTAAAGACCGCCTCGTGCCCTGCCGGATCACAATCGCTATCTGTCCTCGGTGAACGACGGAACTCTTCGAAGTGGAATGCCAAAGTGTCTAGTAGAAGTAGAGAAGGGCCTAGCGAGTGTCTGGGTCAGTAACCTCTCGGATAGCCGCGCGGTGCTGCCGACAAAAATGACGATCGGCACGGGAAGGCTACAGCAGACCACCGCGCGAATAATATTTCTAAACAACAATAACGACAATAAGGAGAAGAACGACGACCTCCACCGAGAGCAGACCAAATCAGGGAAGATAAACAGAAAATGATAACAAACAACAATGAGCAACTCCGCAAAGAAATCGAACTCTCAATTAGATCCCAACCTACCTAATGACAAAAGAAACGAAATAGCTAACATAGTGCTCAAGTTCCCAGACCTTATACCCAAAGAGGGTCAGAAGCTACGACTCAACAAGGACACCAAGCATCGGATCAACACCGGCAACTCAGCGCCGGTATCGCGGAGATACAATCGTAGATACGCGCCAGAGGAGCGCGACGCCGTGGCCAACGAAGTTCGGGAGTTACAACAGCAGGGGATAATCCGAGAATCCAAAAGCCCGTGGTGCTCCCCAGTTGTGCTCGTCAAAAAGAAGTCAGGCGAGTACCGATTTTGTGTGGACTACAGGGAGTTGAACAAGATCACGAAGAAGGATGTGTACCCGATCCCACGCATGGACGATGTGCTGGATAGTCTGCGGGGGCACAATTATTTTCGTCACTGGACCTAAAGCAGGGATACCATCAGTGCAGCATGGCAGAAGAGGACATAGAGAAAACGGCGTTCATCACGAACGACGGTTTGTTCGAATTCACCCGTCTGCTATTCGGCTTGACAGGCGCACCGGCGACGTTCGAAAGGCTGATGGACACAGTACTGACTGAGAGGCAAAAAGTGGCACACCTGCCTCGTATACCTCGACGACGTGTGCGTATTCGGACGCTCATGGGAAGAGCACAATGAGCGCCTGCAGGACGTGCTTCGGTGCCTGGACGGGGCCAACCTGTCGCTAAACCTCAGAAAATGCCACTTTGCAAAGAAGGAACTACAGCTACTGGGACATACGATAACAACAGAAGGAATACTACCAGACCACTCCAAACTGAAGGCCGTAGAAAAATTCCCCGCCCCGAACTCCGTTAAATCTGTAAGGAGCTTTGTGGGACTGGGCTCGTTTCACCGTCGGTTCATCCCAGACTTCGCAAAAATAGCCAGACCGCTCCACGATCTGACGAAGAAGGAGTCAACCTTCAAATGGACCTCAGACCACCAAGAGGCGTTCCAACATTTGAAAAGAGCGCTGACAACGCCGCTCCTAAAACACTTCGACCCGACGAGACCAGTCACGGTACACTCAGACGCAAGCGGGTACGGGATCGGACTGATCCTCACTCAGCAACGCGAGAGGGACGGGGCGGCCGCGGTCGTCGCGTACGCTAGCAGGACCCTATCGAAAGCAGAACAAAACTATTCCACCACGGAGAAAGAATGTTTGGCGATCGTGTGGAGCACACATGTCTTCCCACCATATATGTACGGCAGACCAGTCACCATTATCACCGACCATCAGGCCCTGTGTCATCCGATGTCAGCAAAAGAACCGGCGGGGAGAATGGCCCGGTGGGCACTAAGACTGCAAGAGTTCGACATCGTCGTCAAATACCGGGCCGGCAGAAAGCACGCAGACGCGGACTGCCTGTCGCGGTACCACTCTCAAGACTAGCACTCCTGAGGGAATGTGACTCGGAAGGCCCGATAAGAACACAGGACATCGCCCGGAAACAACGGCAAGACCCCAGACTAGCAACCCTCTTCGAAAAGGCAAAAAACGGACCGCAATACGAAATAATCGAAGACGTACTATACAAGAGGAATTTCACCCCAGTGGGCAACGAATTATTGTTGGTCATCCCCAAAGAACTCCGGTGGGAAGCCCTCAAAGACGCCCATTCACACAAGGATTCCGGACACCTGGCACTCGCCAAAACGCACGGCAAGCTGGCGATGCGTTACTCCTGGCCAGGTATGTACCGTGATTCAAAGAAATTTGTCGCGAC